GCCTAAATGCACTGAGTTGCCGCCATGTGATTGGCTGATTAGAAATTAAGTGTTAACGAGCAGTTGGACAGGTGTACCTAATAAAATGGCCGGTGAGTGTAGATGTACACACATATCCTGGTATTGGCATCAATCTGAGGACCTTGTATTGACTTAAATTCTTTTTTTGTAACTGTGTTTATGCCTAACCCAGACATTTCCCCTAAAATTAACCATTACTGGTGTATAGTTAACCCTAACCTGAACCTAAACTTAATTCACACCATACCTCTAAACCTAACTAGTAAAGCACAGCAGAGCTGCAGACAAAGTGAGGAAAAGGTCCTCACTTTCCAAAAATGACCTCACTTTGTTGACTAAAAAACCTAACATGGTCCTCACTCTGTAGGCAAAACAAGTACACACACACTCACACACTCTGTTCAGTTCAATTCAAAAATACTTTATTGATCCCAGAGGGAAATTAGGTGTTGTTGTAACTCATGCTGATGGCTGTGGGCAGGAAAGGTCTTCTGTAGCGGTCTGTATTACAGCGAAGTTGAAGAAGCCTCCGACTGAAGACACTTTGTCTTTAATGACAGTCTGATGAAGAGGATGGTCAGGGTTGTCCACAATGTTCTTGATTTTATGTAAAATCCTTCTTTGCACCATCATCTCCAGAGATTCCACAGTCGTACCCAGAACAGAACCAGCCTTCTTTATCAGGTTGTTGAGCCTTTTTAGGTCCCTGGCTTTGACGCTGCTGCCCCAACAGATGATGGCAGAAGAGATGACACTCTCAATGAGGCCCATGGACCACCAGTTGAAAAACCCATTAGTGGTATGTTTCGTGGTTCTGGAAATGGCTCATTTGATTGTAAAGGTTGCAGACCCCTGTGCTAAACTAATGATGTATTAACTTTCAGCAGAATCATGGCCGCCACTGCATTTTAGAATTCTTTTTAATCGGTGCGCAGGCATGTTTTTCTTTTATTTTCTAGACTTGGAAAGCACAAAATTCTACAGTACATAAAATCCAGACCTTAGGAATCTTTTGTAGCTTGTATTGTATTTACGTATACATCTACGTTTTGTGCACAACATACTGTGTATAAATGAGAAATCACACTCTAATGCCCATGTGAGTGTGCAATCTAAAAGAATGTGTTAATGGCTTTTTAAAAGTACGATAAAAGTATGTTCTATTAAAACAGCTTAAAGCAGATAAGTATTATGATGAGCAGTGGTGGGCACAGTTCCCCTAAAGCAGTGTTTCCCAAAATTGGGGTCGGGACCCAAAGTGGGGTCCCGAAACATCAAGGTGGGGTCCTGAAAAGATTTTCTGAATTAATCACATTTTTGCCTTAGTTGTTACAAAGGAGTGAGGTTAGTGTAAAATGGATAAATGTAGTATAAAATTATTGTTACTATGCCCATGTTTTGTTGACCTGATACAAATGTTTATCATCCAAACATAGTTGGGTACATGTCTTTGCTACTGTTATTTTGTGGGTCAAAAGCTGAAAAGTTTGGGAACCACTGCACTTTGGTTCCCAAAGTTGGGCTTGGGACCCAATTATGGGT